ATTACAAACGTAAAAAAAAACGAGCCATTCTCATGGATTGTACTGCAGTCCTGAAATCTATGAATGGATGAATATCCTACAGGAGGAAGCCCAAAGATAAGAGATAATCCAGAGATAGATCAATGGATGGGTGAGTGGATAAGGAGTGAGACAAAAGGACAGAAGAAAGAGGACCAGGGGACGGATGGTGTTGTGTCCCCTTACATGTCAGACCTGAGGGCCAATCATTACTGGTCTGAAACTGACCGTTGACTTATTGATTGGGGGGCAGGTGGTGATTTTAGAACTTGTTAAAGATGCATTTGCAGAGGATAAGGTTACTAATGTCTTTACAGTCTTTGTGATCTACTCTCTCTGTTTTCTTTATTATGAACATCTTTTTGATGTCCATAAAGGAATCATTTAGGCAGGAAGTTGAGTCACAAACACGAGCAGCGAAAAACAACGTCCCAGAGGACGTGTTCCTCATGCATGCAGCTGTTTCTGTCTCTCTTTTTGCACTTTTTCATGTGTTTGCCAACGAGTATTTCTCCAGGCAAGTTATTTTTTGAGGAGTTAAAAATGGGATGACGCATGTTCGGTCACCTCATTCTCAGCTGTTGTTTTCTCTTCGGCAGAAATGAAAAGAAGAACCGGAGTCAGGTGTGAAATCTGGATTTTCTGAACCAGAACCTTCAGCTTGAAGTCAACATGGTTGTAGTTTGCACAGATGTTGCACAGCCTCTTGTTGTCAGGGGAGAACCTGTTTGTGAGTAAATACTTGAGCTTGCACAGGTTTCCTATTTTTAACATGTTTGCACGAGTGTGTGGAAGTTAGTGTACGGATCAGAGGTCACAGTCTTACTCCAAGACAACAGTAGAAGTCTTAAAGATCTTCTTGGCCTGATTGTTTAGAGCTGCTGTTTGCAGAGAAACAGGTTGACACTAGAGTATGATGGACAGATGTTAAAGGGCCTAAGCACACAAGAGGGAACAGGACTAATATCTGTGAAATGAAACGTTGGTGTGTGATTTATGTACTTTTCTTTTTTTTTACTTTGTTGTCCCTTAAAAGACACAGCTGGGACACTCCAGGGCAGAATTTGTTCAAAAATATTTCATGTGGAAAAATCACAAGATTGAAACTTTTATGGTGTTTGGTCGTAGATCCTCCAAAAATCTTTTATCAAATTAGCTTTTATTTTAGAATTTTTAAAAATCTTCCCCAATTTTAGTTAAAAGTCAATAATTTAGTTCTAAAAACAAAAACAAAGAAGAGCTTTAAATTCTTCAGAGAACAAAGTGTGTGTTTGTTTATATTTTGTTTTAAAATTTATTTTTTCAGGTCTTACTGAAGAACAACATCATAACATTAACAATGAAAATACATATTTCAACTTTAGCATAAAGAACTGCTCGTGTTGGAAGCTGATTTGGAATAGAAGATCAAAAGGGTGAACCCTTAGAGGAGAATGTAATATGACAAAAGAATGCTCAGCCCTTTGAGCCAAATTTATCAAGATGTGAGTGAGAAAGGATTAAACTGATCTTTCAGAGACACAATCTTCTTTTTCTGTAAACTGTTTACAGAACTTAGACTGTCGTGTGTGTGTGTGTGTGTGTGTGTGTGTGTGTGTGTGTGTGTGTGTGTGTGCGTGTGTGTGTGTGTGTGTGTGTGCACATCAGGGGTTAAAGAAGTGTGTGATGGGGGAAGGGTTGATGCGACTGTGAAGAGAAAGTGTTGGGGTCACTGCACATGCACCCCTTGGTGAACACATCTGTGATGAGGGTCTGTTATTTTTGTGATGATTCAATACAAAAAAGAAAAGGAGGCTACTGTGGAGATGTAAAGCAAGGTTATAAATCACAGATCACAGCAGAAACGGATGGATTTAACAGGTATCCTCCTACTTCTGTGAGTACGACTGGAAGCACTGACTTTCTTTGAACGGCACCTGACCAACAATGCTAAAACACATTGTTTTACAATGATCTATTTCCTGAAATGCGCACAACTTCTGTACATTATTGACCACCACCAGCAGGCAAGGCAGGTTAGGTATTTCCCAAGGACACAACTACTACAACAGATGGGGCTTGAACCTGTAACCCTCCGGGTATGGGGCAGGAACTTAACTCCTCTGCTAATCTTGTACCAAAAGGGGGAAACTCCAGATAGCTGCTTTAAACTCTTGCATATTTTGCTGCTGCAAACAATTTTTTTCTCACAATAATTAATTTGAAATCAGTCCACATTTTATTTATTTCCCACAGGTGCCATAAATTCAGGTACAGCAGTTATTATTTTCCAGATATTTTTTTAAGATTGAGGTTTTGTACATATGTAGTCAATAAAATTCTCATGGGTGTACCAAAGCAAAATTCATTAGCATCAGCTCTGTTGCTAACAAGCTAATCTAAGAGTGTGAGAATGGCCAAAAAAAAATCAGTTTAAGATTAAAATGCTGCCCGTATCAGCACAGGGAACAGCATGACTGTGTCTGAGCACACCTCTAGACTTGTTTAAATCAGTGTGTGAGACATGACCGGGCCCGTTAGACAGAATCCAAAACCTTTATCTAATCTGTGAGTCCATCCTGGCAATGTAATCCACAAACACTGCGATGTGAATGCTGGTACCAGCATGGTAGCAACAGGATTCATGTGGGTCTCTCACTAAACACGTCACACCCAACACCCAATTCCCACCCAGTTACACAACACACGTACCACACACACACACACACACACATACATATAAAAGTGGATTTACTGGAAGGTCAGTTTGTTAATGGAGATCATGATGGCACAGTCTGAGTCAACTTTCAACTCTGAGGTTGACTACAAAACAGAAAATAGGTGGTAACAATGGGAAGAATTGCTCATCTGTGATTCTATTCTGTTGTTTTCTATTCTATTCTATATTTTTGTGTGAAATTCCAAACAGATGTACCTCTCGGTATGCTGAGCAACACCATTTTTAACTAGCACTAACCAATAAAATCAATAAATAGTTGTGGTGTATGGACCTTCTAAGTGGATATGGAACGTCATTTAAAAGTTTGATTCTATTATTCTGAAATGTTTGTGTTGATAAAGTTTCAGAGGTATTTATTAACACACCGATGTGATGCGTCATCCCGTATCTTCTCTAAATAATAATGATGTAACAGAACAAAATCTCCCATCCTGATCCCAATGACACGTGGATCTTCATGTGGGAGTTGCAAAGAGAGGTGTTACCTCCAACCCCCAGCACACACTTGTGTTAATGTAATCCTGTTTCTTACAAAGCTCTTTCCAAGTGGACTACCAGTGATGTTCATCATTATTAGACTCGTTAAATGTTTTTGCTGAGCGTTTTTACTCATTATGGTGAGGAATCATTACTGAGGCCCCACAGCTGCACTGCAGCAGCAAAAAATAGAAAGATGAGCTGCCATGCACTGTGGGTGGTATCAGTATCTGAGGCTTTACTACTGACAGATCTGTCTTGTAATTGTTCTGAGAACTGGCTCATGCAAAATCACAACAAAAGTGATGATATCCAAGAAGACTGCATGCTGCATCAGGTTTTTCTTCAGCTGGAACATAAGCCACAAAACAACTCAGCTCAGATTGTTGTGGAAATTAGTTAAATATTCCACTTCTGATGAGTTTACAAAAAGCAATTTGACTTTATTTGAAGTTAAAGCTGAGAAGAAAATAAGATGAAAGTCGGATTTTTTCCTGCTGAACCAGAGATGTTATGTTGTATTTTCTCTTACAGTTACAGGGCTGTCAGGCTTGAGTTCCTGAATATCAGTGGCACCCCTTCTCATTGGCCTAGTGGTAGAGTGTCTGCCCTGGGACTTGGAGATTGGGGTACAAATCCCAGTCAGGTCATGAAAAAGACTTGGGAAGGGTCTAAAGGGTTGGACTGGGGTGTTAAACCACCAAATAGTTCCAGAGCGCAGCCACAGCTCCTGCTCACCATTTCCCACAGGGATGGATCAAATGCAGAGATGAATTTCACCAGTGTGTGATGACTAATGGGACTTTAACTTGAAAACTTTCATGGGGTCGAGTAAAAACTGACAGTTGATAACAACGGTGATCAACAGGGGTTTCCCATGTTCTTGCACCCCAGCCAGAAACTGCGGGGGGCGGGAGTTTGGGCACAAGACATCACCTGTCAAGGGGTTTATATATTTAAATTGTAATTTATTAAATAAACAGTTTATAAAATTTTGTGAAATAAAATTTTATTTATTGTCTTTAAAATGTATGTCTTGATTAAAGACACAAAGGGAGTTGGGTTGCCAACAATTTTCCAGACATGACAATGGCTCCCTTCAGAGAATCAGTGAAATAAATCAATATTTTTATTTTATCTCTTCTTTAAGACTCATTAAGAGATAAATAGATAAATATAAAGAACAGCTGTTATTTTATTGATTGTGTTTTTTTAACATATTTATCAGTTTTTTTTTATTTAAACACCTCACTCTTCTCATTGAACAAAGAACTTAAGTCACGTGTAGGTAAAATACTTCAATAATAGTGAAATGAGATTTTACTAAATCACTTCTGTTGATGATTTTAAACAGAATAGAATAGCTTTCTGTTTTGTTCTCCTTTGTGAACTCCTGTGTTTCCTGCACTCCTCCCTCTCCTTCATGCACCACGGTCGACAGCGTTGGGTGGAATGAAGCTCAACACTCAGTTTTTAAATAGCATCCTTGCCCGAATCAGCCATTTCAAATTCCAAATATGGCAAAGGGCAGTGACACTGCCCCCAAAATATCAGCCACCGCCTCACTGAAGAAAAACGTTCTCTTGATTGTAAAGGATGATTGATTATAGCTGTGTTTCAGGGTAAACAAAAACAATACAAAAGACTTTCTCCTGCTCTGTTTGAGGGTTAGGATTTAAGGACTGATAAGGTGGATTCACCTATTTATTTATCTGACATTTATTAAAGGAGGAGTAACAGAATGAGATGTGCGTTCTCGTTAATCTTAAATGTTTCCGACCTTTAGGATCCTCGTGGGGGCTCCACAAGCAGCAGGCCGGGGCCTGTTGAAGGGAAGTCGACCAGGAGCTCTTTTCAGGTGTCCCATCACTCCAGAGGAGTACGACTGTGAGAGGGTGGACATCGATGAAGACAGTGAGTCACAGCTGAAGCAAATCTTCTAATGGAAAAACTGAATTGAATACACATTTATTATCACATAAATAAGGAATTAAGTGTTACAGAGCTCTCAAAGCAACAAGGAAGGAGAACAAGTCAGTCATCTAAACAAACATATATCCTTCTATACATATAAACTGACCATGATTCTATCATCTTTAAAAAATTAAAAGTTCTTTACTTGAAGTAGATTTTACCCAGTCCAAGTGCAATGCCAATGTTTTCCTTTTGTGTTTTTTACTCAGTAAGTCTGGACAGAGAGAGCAAAGACAACCAGTGGCTTGGAGTTACAGTCAAGAGTCAGGGGATTGGAGGAAAGGTGGTGGTAAGTAGTGACTTAGTTGGAATTTGTGAAAAACCAGAAGCAATGAGCATCAAACCAAGAGTTCCTTATTTCGCCTAAGACCTGCGCCCACCTGTATGAACTGAGACAACGTGTCAGTCAGTCTTCAGAAACTCGAGATCCCATAGGACGCTGCTACGTCCTGAGCGACGACCTGACGAAGAGGGACGAGCTGGATGGTGGAGAATGGAAGTTCTGTGAGGGTCGACCACAGGGGCACGAGCAGTTTGGGTTCTGTCAGCAGGGCCTTTCTGTCAGCTTCACTCCAGACAACAACTTCATACTGTTTGGGGCTCCAGGAACGTACAACTGGAAAGGTAGCGTGTCTAACTGGTAACCAGTAGAGAGAAAAAGAAATTTACTTTAAAATCTTTGTGAGAAACCATGTTGCCCAACTCAAATTTGTTTTTACTTTGAAAACGTGCTGTTGTTTTAAAGGTGTGGAATGCTGAAACAATTTTTAATGATTATTTCTTTTTATAATCAGTCACTGTAAGATTTCCGTGCAGGCTGAACTTGAAAATAGTCTCCTACACCTATCTACTGCATTAGCGTCTGATAAAAAATAGACGGTGAAACTCTAGGATTTTAAAATCCTGACAGATCTACGTCACACTGTCACTTAACATCCATGGACTCACCCATCTTGGCTCATGACAGGGAAGACATGGTGTTGGTTTAGTGTCCAGGAAACAGAAGAGAACATCCTGACTAGTAGAAGCTAACCGTCAGCATTTAGCAACACAACCACACCGCAGAAGCTCCTAGCCGCTTGTGTTATTTGTTGAGATAAAACATCAACATTGCAAATCAGTGGTAGTCGTGTTTCTGTTATCCATTCCGAGGCGAGATGTCCAAATATCAGGAGAAAAGAGTCCAAATCCTGCTTTACTGTGCCACTCTGCTGCAGCAGACTCGTCCGTGCTGATCCAGTAGCTTCTGCTTTTTTGCCCCGAGCACAGCTAGCAAGGCATTCATTCCTACAAGAGACCACTGCAAATGTATTGATTAAATGAGTTTCCCACACCTTTAAAGTGGAATTAAATAAATCTTTTTTCTATTGGTGGTAAGCAATGCAAAGAAAAGGCACTCCATGTAAATCGCTTAATTAATGTGCTACCAACAGTTAATGGGATAATTTATGGTGCAATCTACTGATTGAACAGAGACACAGACAGAGGCATGCACAGAATTAAAGCAAGCTTTTAAATTTATGCTTAATCTGTCAGCACATTCGTTTGATCAGATCAGAAAGTGAAGCTGCATCTTTATGCAGTTTTAATACTCAGTCATATTTGCTTACTTCTGTTGAGGAAAACCAGGAAATGCTTGGATGATTTTTCATGCCATTGTTCCTTTGGCGTGCTTATAAAGTGATAAATGTATTTTGCATGTTGAAATGTCTGAGATGTAGCGTGAATGTTTTCCTGTTGCCTTGCTTTGCGTTCACCTGTTTCCCTTCCAGGTGAGATGCAAGTCCAGCTCCTAAACCAGAGTGTGTTTGACCTTGGTTACTATGACGACGGCCCATACGAGGTTGCAGATCACAAAGAACATAATTCCAGGCTCATCCCTGTTCCTAACCACAGTTACCTGGGTAGGATTCGCCCCTCCCTGCTTCAACAAAGGAAGAGGAGAGGGCTGGGGGGGAGGATGACATCACAGCTCAGACTGTCGCACAGGAAGTACAGCAACAGGCTGGTAGAGAGGGGTAGACAGTGTCACTCGTACACCCTGGGGATTATTTCTGGCCCAGCGTGTGACTCAAAAAACCCAATTTGTGAACCATTTCTCACAGTCGGTGCACACGTCAAAATGCCTGAAGCTCGTCGTGGCTTCAGATGAATGCCTTTGATTACTGATCTTTTTTGAGGAAACAAGAACAATATTGTATGTGGCGTCCCCGCTGCAGAAGCGCTAGCCCCATTCCGTCCTCCACCCTTGTGTGAAAGCAGGAAAACATGACAAACTTTTAAGTGGGCAGTCTGAGTCTGAAATGTCATTTGCCCAAACCTGGTGGTTCTGCAGGAGAAACGGAACTGCAGAGCCACAAAAACAAAGCACCAATTCAATCACAACCTCCCTCACCTGCACTTCCTCTTCTCCCCTTTTTTTCTCCCTCACCATGTCACCACCCCATCACCCCCTCCCACACTCGTCCCTCTGTCTCTTTCTGTCTTCTGGCTCTGGGCCGTAGGGCTGTTGTTCATGGCTAGCGCTGTTGAAGATGCACTGCTGTACAAAACTCTGGAGCCCTCCAAGAGGCCCACGCCGTTTGAGGATGTAGCTCATAATAGCTACTTAGGTTTGTAGGCGTGTGGTGTTGTTCAGACTGGGCTGGACTTGTAGTGGTCTCTTTGTCTCTGTCTTTGTCTTTACTTTATCTCAGAATCATGTCTTGTATTTCAAATTTTTAGTGTTAAACTTGTAGGAACACGTTGCTACTGTCCTAAAGAGAAAGCCATCCATAACAGTAGATTTCAAATGAAAGTTAATTTAATTAAATAAAAAATATGTTTTATTGTTATTTTATTAATGGCTATTAAGTATATTTTTAAAATCATCATCAGTAACAGTTTATTGAAATGCAAAGATGGTTGTCTCTTTGGGTTCAGTAGCTTGTTCTGTCTACAACTTAGTTGTCTTTAGTGCGTTTCAGTCCTTTTGTCTTCTCTGTGTTTTTGTCTGGATGATGGTTTCCTGGGAATCTTGGTGATGGTTTTCCTGCTGAATTTTTGAATTTTACCTAACAAAACTGTGTTGAATGGATCAACTAACAAATGAGAGTAGAACTAAACGAATCCCTGCTGGGGTGCGAGGTTCTGTCTGCACTTTTAGCTCTACTCTAGCATGAAGATGGTAATTCTGTTTCTGTGTGTTTTCAATTTCTGCTTTAAACTAGTCGCATGGAACGACTGCAGTTGATACGCATGATACGATTGTATTGCAGAGATAAAATATTTAGCCTGGCCAGCCATGTCAATGCTTCCTTAAGATAAGGAAAGGGCCTAGAAACGCTCCCATTGAAATGACCACACCCCTCGAGAATTCTAACCAAGCCAATCAACGTTGAGCAGCGTACGTCACACACTGCCACGCTCAGTTTCTCATAAACAACAAAGATGGCATCTGAAGTGGAGGTCGCAGTGGCTCTTTCGTCTGTTCTAAATGACTTGGACATGTCTTTAAAACCACAAGAAGAATAAGAGCTAAATGCCTTTCTTCTAAAGAAAGATGTTTTCTCCACTGCCAGACGCCATCTTTGACCACAGCTAAAAAACTACAGCGTTGCACGGTGTAGCGTTTAGATGTGGATACATATGAAAGTCTATGATCAATAAGATGTGACATTCCATATAATTATGAATGATCAATCTGATTGGCCTTTGGATGTTTGATTTAATATTACCTTAGGTTCTTTAACTATTCATACAAGAGACCACTGCAAATGTATGTATTAAATGAGTTTCCCACACCTTTAAAGTGGAATTAAATAAATCAGAGTCAAGGATATAGTTTATAAAAATGAATGTAATTCTATCTGTCTAAACTAGTGATTATACATAACAAAGTATGAATGAAATGATGTTGGTTGTACAAGATAACAGACAATGAATGAAATCATGGAATGTAAGCTAGATGTTTCTGTAGCAAAACCTTGTTAAGTATCTGAGAGATCTTGTGATGTCTGGGTTGTAAAAGGCTGAAGTTGGAAATGTGTTATTCTGGCCACAGGGAGCAGTAGAGGCTGGGTGGCCTTTCATTAACCCTGTAAAAGATCCTTTTAGCACATCCCGGCTCAAGCAAATCATTTAAAAATATGAAAAAGTTGCAAAATATCCCTTTAAATAATACCTTTCAGAGTGTTGGAAATTCCGGCCTATATTTAACCAAACAGCACCTCAGCCTTACTTCATTTTATCAAAGAAGATCTCCTACATACACATTGCTTTTAATCTGTAAAATGTATATAGATTAATTCAGAATTAGCTTTTGAAACATGAATGGTACTTTCTTGTTGTGTGCTGCTATTTTGCAATTTTGGTTTGAAAAATCAGAGTTAAACAAATATCTTTGCCAGTGATTACATAACATGCTGTCATCTTAGTTTAATCTTTTAGTAAACAGACATTTTGTAGAGTGCATTAAAATGATTGTGGCTTCTGCTGCCATTTATAGATTCAGTGTTCTTTTTTTTGTGCTCATAGCTTTATTTATTTTTTATGTTTACTAAAACAGCAGAACTGAGAGCCCACTTAAAACCTGACTGTCTAGTCTTCATTTATAGTTACTCACCTGCAAACTGATCCACCATGAATGACTTCTAGGAAATACATTAAAAAGTTTTTATGAGAAAAGGGGACTTTGCATTAATTTGTGGCTGATTTGCATTTAGATGTGCTTTTAAAATCGTAGCTAAATGAGTCTCGTGTACAGTTTATATTTGAATATCAGCATGAATCTCGTTGAGGCAAATCAGGGAATAAAAAGTGTTATTCTCATGTTTGTGCAACAGGAAAAGTCAGAATTGTTAAAGGTATTTAGACTGATTACAGACAGTTCATGACAGCTGATGAGCTGCAGCTGTGTGTTGGAAAGATCACCTTTACAACATAAAGAGTAAAACATTTTAATGAATATTATTGTGTGTGTGGTCAACAGGCCAGATTCTAGGAATCAGCTGATTGAAGGCTTTAGTTATTGTTGTTCACCGTGTGGATCTGCCATAAATCTCTCTATTCACATTCCTCTAAGCCTGCTTCCTTTCATCTTATTGAACCGTCTCCTTGACAACACTAATGCCCTCATGACCTTTTAGCCTTCATTTAAAATTCGCATGCTTCCACTGATCCTTATAAGATGAAATGACAAATCTATGTGTGTTTATCACAGCGAGATAACCTGTTGAATTAATGGCGTCCAAAATATCCAGATTTTTAAAGGTTAAATAACAATTTTGTCCTTCATATGGACAGTAAAATAGTGAACTCCGAAGGTAGTGTTCGTGATCGAAGGCAAGCAACCGTTTCATATCCATCAAGGCCAAATTAAACGTCGTCCATTGGATTTTTGAAAGGACAAAGATAGATTTTACAAATGCTTTGATCTAGATGTGAAAATAATAAAAAGAGGATGGAGGTGACAGGAAATGTACGGAAGCATAGCGCTGCCACCCATGCAAAATAATTTAGAGCGATATCACGTTATAACATCATAACTTTTATAACTTTCACGTTCTTGTATGAACAAGATGATTAAAGACACACTTGGCAGTTTTGCTTGCTTTTAGCTCCCCCTAGTGTCCATAAATAATTATCTGTGGTCAAGCCGAAAATGGAACTTATCTCCTTGCTGTGCGTTCGTCTTTTTAACACCTTAATCTGACAGCTGAAATGTCTCCCCAGCCTTCCTTCGTGTCTACAGGAGTGAGAGATCAATAAATTAAACAAATCAGCTGTTGTCATGATCTAAAACAGTGGTACTCTCTCCTGGTCCTGGAGAGCTGGTATCCAGCATGTTTTAGTTTTAACCCTGCATCAACACACCTGACTTCAATCAGCAGGTGATTAACAGGCTTCTGAAGAGCCTGATTAATCTATAAATGATGCACAGGCGATTCAGTCACTGAATCAGGTGTGTTGGAGTCGAAGAACAAGGAAAATATGCAGGAGATCGGCACTCCAGGACCAGGAGTGAGTTCCACTGATCTAAAACATGCAGGACACGTGCTGCAGCGCCAGGCATGTCAATTACATGTTTTTCTTAGTGCCAATAGAGCGGCCCGCCAGTCTGAAGTGGCAAATACGGTATTCTGGCCACAAGGGGCGATGACATTTCATTAACCCTGTAAAGGGTAATTTTAGCACATACTGGCTCAAGAAAATGATTAAAAAATATAAAGCAGTTGCTGTTCCTGTAACTTTTTTTCCTTTTGGAACCTTTGGCTGGATTCTGTTGATGTTCCCAGGTTAGTTTTGGATGATTCTTTAAGTTGTTTCCAGTACATCGTCTTAGAAGACAGGTTTCAAACAGGGTTTTTAGTGTTAATCTCTTGTGGAGGCATTCAGAGTGACCATCTGAGTGACGGCAAAGTACCTCGGTTCTATCCATTTGTTTTGCAGGAGCTGGGATGTCCCGTTTCATACCGTCCCACCCTGGAGTTGCTCTCCTGTGTCTGTTTTTCCTCCTTCTGCTTGTTTACTCAGCACTAACAAACGTCTCATGAATAATCTCCACTGCTCACTCCGTCTGCATGTGAAATGCATGTGTTTGCTAACCCGTGCCCTTTATGCAGCATCTCTGATACTTGTAATGAGTCTGACAACTTTGTAAGACATTTCTGAAACAATCTTGTCATGAAGTAAAATGCCTCCTCTTCTCACTTCTTCTATTATCTTGAATTACGTAAGAACCCATTCCTACACACACACACACACACACACACACACACACACACACACACGCACACACACACACACACACACACACACACACACACACACACACACACACACACACACACACACACACACACACACACACACACACACACATGTCTTGCAGAAAACACACACTATAGCTTCAGGCAATACATCTGATTAATGCACCTGTACTTTATTTACATACTGATCTCCACAGAGGCGACTGATGCCAAGCTAAAGCGAAGGCCAGTGAATCATCTTGTGTTGCTGCCACAAACAACCTGTTTGCTTTTAAAGTCTCTGAAAACACGAGACATTTACACTCATCATGAGTTTGGCACAAAATCAATATTCACTTAAGGCACACATTTCATTAGTGAGGAGATGAGAGGAACGTGGAGATGCTGAGCCACAAAACCTCACAGTCAACAGTATCCCCTGATCCCTCCTCTTCCTCCCTCCTTCAGGGTTTTCCGTCGACTCGGCGATGGGGATAATGAGCCTCGGGGAGCTGACCTTTTTGGCCGGCGCACCTCGGGCCAATCACACTGGAGCTGTGGTGTTGCTGAAGAAGGACAACATGCACCGACTGGTGCCGCAGCACATCTTCTGGGGGGAGGAGCTTGCATCCTCATTCGGGTATTCAGTGACCGCGGCAGATCTCAACAAAGATGGGTGAGGAGAGAATAGAAGCTTAAAAACCCAATTAAAAATACTGCTGTGTGAAAAATGACAAATCAAATCCTCATATTATTATGTTTTTACTGCATAATGTGAAATGTTTCTGCTTCATGTTGTTCCAAAAGTTTATCACTGTTGCCTTTATTGTGGCTCTTCGAGTTTCTTCCATTAACATCAATGGGTTCATATATTTTTCAACTGTAAAACAATTAAAGCACCACAAATTATAAATGTTTGTTGATTAAATGGTGTGTGTGTGTGTGTGTGTGTGTGTGTGTGTGTGTGTGTGTGTGTGTGTGTGTGTGTGTGTGTGTGTGTGCGTGTGTGTGTGTGAAATGCAGGAATTCCTAATGAAGTCCAGTCTGAACCCACCCAGCAGCTTTCTCACCACTTTCACAGTCAAGTGACCTTTAGAAAGCGTTGAACAGCACTTGTTAGATGGACATGTGTGACCTTTATAAGCAGGGGTGGTTCCAGAGGGGGGCTAGTGCCCTCCTGACAGCTAGTGTGGACCCCCCCCCCCCCCCATGCTCCCCCAAGCTGAGGGCAGTGCCTAAGCATGCTAAGCACTGGTTTTTTTGTGCTAATTTAGCCTAATGCTAGAGCTGGAACAAAAGCATGTGAAGGCATTTATCTGAAATTAAAAAGAGATGCTGGGGCAAATATTTGCATATTGTTGAGATAGATAACTACAATATCAACAATTTCTTTTTAAAATAGTTATATTCTGAAACTTATTGAACCTACTGTATATAAGGCAATTTTATACCTAAAGTAACTATTATCCTCCAAATGATAGAAACGAGAAGAAACACTAGTGGGCAGGTCTCTACCTGCTTTACTGTGACTGTAGCTCATAATGGCTAGCAGTTAGCTTTTTCGGTTTGCCTACTGTCAATAAAAACCACACAAAAATAGTAACAGTGAATGGCCTGTATTTATATAGCCGCTTCTATAGTTCTACAACCCCCCAAGGCATTTTGCAGTACAATCAGTCCTTTATAAAGCCAGAGTGAACATTGGCATGGCCTACATTTGTTGGTTTCTGACCTGCCAATTAATCATACAATTACAATAACTTTGTTTGGCGACTCTGTTCTCTGCAAAGCTGCGTCAGGTTTTCTTACAACAGTTGTTATTCTGCATCAACCAGCAGGAGGAGAAGCAGGACGCGTATTAATTGCTACTCTAAAATATTTGTGCGGTTGACAAAAATCTGCATTATGTTTCATTCTCTGCAGAAAGATTTTCTCCTTGTGTCTCCTGTCTGATTTCAGCTCTTGCTTACTTAACTCCCAAAAGGTCCATTCAGCTCAGATTGGACTAAAACCAGTTGTGTTTTATGCAGCTGCTTGTCCTTTCACTACTTTTGCAGAAATAATGCAGATGTGCTATTGGATGATTTATTTGCAATAATTGACATCTTTTAAAGAAGCAACGATTTTGGCAAAAAAAATAAAAAATAAATACATTTTGCCCCATCTGGATTTTCTGCTGGTGAGAAAATGTTTTCTTTGATGTGAACTTTGAGAGCTTTCCTAAGTAACCTAAAAAAAACAAATCTATGGAAAACTTACAGGCCACATTTTCTGTCTCTGTTTCCTTAGTTGGACAGACCTGATTGTTGGAGCTCCTAACTTTTTCGACCGTAAAGCAGAGATAGGTGGAGCGGTTTATGTCTATCTGAACCCCTTCGGTCACTGGGACGATCAGGCTCGACCGATCCGCCTCAACGGGACGTATGACTCCATGTTTGGGATGACAGTCAGCAACATCGGAGATCTTGATCAGGATGGATATGGAGGTGTGAGCAATGCTTTTCTGTGCTTATTAAATTCATAGGTCCAAAATCTAACAACCTCTGATATTTATAACCAAACAAGTGTACAAAGCTGTTGGACAGTTGAAGACAGTTATGAATTAATGATAATAATAATAATAATAATAATAAATGATTTGTTACAGATATTGCAGTGGGTGCCCCGTTTGATGGAGATGGAAAAGTTTTCATCTACAGAGGCTCAGACTCTGGAATTGAGACAAAACCTGCACAGGTAGATTCAGAAATAAAGCTATGAAAGTTAAATATTAGTATTATAGTAATATGATTAAGGAAAACCCCTGATTTATTAGGTTCTGGATGGCTCCGACTTTGATGTGAGACGTTTCGGATACTCCATCTCAGGTGGTCTGGATATAGATGAAAACCAATACCCAGATGTAGCTATTGGTTCTCTGAATGATTCAGTAGTTCTTTTTAGGTAAGAAAATACTTTTAGAAACACTAAAAAACAGATACACATAGAATAATTTTACTACAAATATCTAACAAAAGTAAAAAACCCATCAAATTTTATCTCATTTTATTGAAGTTTTAAAAATGCATAAATGTCACTATTTCATCCTAATAGTCCTGCCTTGTCTCCGTGCTTAAGGTCTCAACCAGTCATTCATGTGATCAGAGAAATATCCATTAACCCTCAATATATTGATCTGCAGCACTTCAACTGCAAAGGGAGAGATGGAGTCTGGTAGGAACAGCCTGATTTTTACTTTAGAAGCTCATTTCTGTAAATAAGGATTAATGTTCTGTTTCAGCATTGACGTTCAGGCCTGCTTCACCTTCACAGCCCACCCAGAACACTACTCACCCCACATTAGTGAGTTCTACTGGAGTATTTAAATAAATAACTGTTTGATTTCTCTCATTTTATTCATAGAATAGTGAACTTTCTGAACGTTTTCATCCCTTCATGTGTTGCTTCTTCTTTTCTCTCCTGAAGCCCTCGTCGTGCATTTTGAAGCTGACACAGAGCGCAGGAAGCTGGGCCTTCCGCATCGCATGACCTTCCTGGGTCGCAGTTCGCTGGAGCCTGAGTACACACAGACAGAAGAAGTGGAGCTCCATCGGCAGCGTCATCCAGCGTGCATCACTGCAGTCTTCCAGCTGCACGTCAGTAGCTAATGACGGCCCGTTCCTTCTCTTGTTCTTTTAGTAGAAGCATTCTTGCAAGCACTAGTTATTTAAAACTGTGTTTCTTTCTGTTTGTGCAGGACAACATCCGTGACAAACTGCGGCCCATATCATTAGCAATAACTCATACGATCAAACCTGTGCCGCCGCGTAGACACAATGGGAAGAGGCTGCAGAGGCTACCACCTGTGCTGAGTCTCACTCCGTCAAATACCCTGCACTCTGAGGTCTGTAACAAAAGGGGAAAATCCATTCTATTTATGTATAAATAAGCAACAACATTTACTTTTCTTTAAAAAAAAAAAATTAAAGTTAATCTCAGGAATGAACTTTTTGCGGTTTGAGCTTTGACACTCAGATCTGCAGCTTAACCTTTGTCACGTGTTTAACTGTGAAGGTGAACTTCCTGAGAGAAGGATGTGGCAGCGATAAAATCTGTCAGAGCAACTTGAAACTGCGCTTCCAGTTTGGAACTCGACCTCACAACACCGACTTCTTCACCCCTCTGCCAAAGTTAGTACCAAACCTGTTTCATCTGTCTTTCTGAAGCACCTAACTGTCCTTTTTCCTAATGAATTTATGGCAACAAGTGTTAAAATACAATGAAAAGTAATCATTTTTAATTTAAACATGGTTTGAAAAGGGTTAAAGGTGCTACCTGAGTAATAGTTGCATAGAAACTTTACCTGGACTTTTAGTTTAAACTTGGATTTGAACTGTAATTTACCATTGTCATTAAATAAACTAATTTATCAGCATTGTTGCTGGTCATCATGTTAGTACAAATCTTAAAATGAACAGTTTCAAAAATGTTTTTTTTCATCAGCTGATTATTGAGCTAAGATTTCCCATTCTTGAAATGCAGCAGAGGCGGTTCTAGGGGGATCCAGTGTGGGCCAGTGCCACCTAGACAGCAAGCCTGGACCCCCCTTGTGCCCCCGCCCCCACTAAGGGCACAGCCTAAATAATAAGTTCAGATATATCAGTGATAATTTTGCCTAATGCAAGATGTAAAACCAATATAAGAGAATGCATTTCTGTGAAGTTGAAAAGAAAAAACAGAAAGACAAATATTTTTCATGAACCTTTTTTATTTTAAAATCTGTTAAACTGGTGCTCATTTGCATCAATGCATTGTTTCACATACATTTTTGTCCTTTTTTCTCCTTTAACTTCACATAGAGACGAGGATGGTGTGCAGGTGCTTTCTCTGTCAGACCAGCGTCTGGTTGTTTTGGAGATAACCATCACCAATTTGCCCTCTGACCCTCTTTATCCCGAGGAGGACGGTGACGATGCTCACGCTGCTCAGCTGCTAATCACGCTCCCAAACACGCTGTCATACGCTGGCTCCAGGGTCCCGACCCAGGTATGTCTTTAACTAGAGGAGCTGTCTCATACTGTAAACCTCGTTTAGGATGGTGTTTGTTGAACATCCTGCAGATGAGGTGCCAAGCGAACCAGAATGGCTCCCAGGTGGAATGTGATCTGGGAAACCCCGTCAAACGAAACGCAAAAGTAAGACGTTTTGTTTTTATGTTTAGCACAATAAGTTATGGGAGTACCTTAATGATTTAGTCATTTTAAAACAATAAAGTGCGTTTTATCTTCCAGCTAAAATTCACCATCAACCTGAGCACAGCTAACATTACCACTGAAACCACTGAGTTAACAGCAGATCTGCTGCTGACAACGTGAGAGCTCCTCTACAACAGGAATCAGTTTTAGCAGCCTTAAGCTTTGGTTTAATGACCCTTTGATTTGTCTTTGTTGTTCATCATCAGTATCAGTGAGCAGTCTGACCTGGATCCCATCACAGCTTATGCTAAAGTAGTGATAGAGCTCCCTCTCTCTGTCAGTGGGTGAGTTGCAGGATTTTCCATTAGGCTTGGTTAATATACAGTACATTGAAGCAGCTTTATGTTGGGAAATTTTTATGTTTATATAAAGAATTTTTTTTATCCGAGATACTGAGTTGTATGGGATAAGATTTGTGCCTAAGACATTAAAAACTATCTCAAACAAAATATACCCAAATAAAGCAACAAAAACATAATAAAAAATTCAGAAGCAAAAGTAGGAATTTCTGAAAAAAGATGTCACAAAAAATAAAGCTAACTAATTTATAAGCTAATTTTTATATTTCAAGATGAAACATTAACTGTTTATTTAACTAATCATAAATCATATTTGATCAATCACTTACAATTTTTATCCCAATTATTTTATTTTTGTCATTTTAGACATTTTTAAAATCTTTTTAAAACATCTTTTTCATATTTAAAATGTCTTGTTTTTGTGAAACGCTTTGTGATTTTATCTAGAGAGGTGCTATATAAAAATAGCTTTCTTTCTTTCTTTCTTTCTTTCTTTCTTTCTTTCTTTCTTTCTTTCAATTCTGCATTTTTCAGACTGCTTAAGCTTTTACTCTGAATAGCATGTTTTAGTTCTGCCTTCAGCGCTTTGCTTTTGCTGCACCTTGAATTTGCATCTGCTCTAGATTTTTGTCTTTGAAACCTGAAAAATGCTCATCAGTGTTCTGGTGGGGGCATGGAGTGAGTGGCCATATAGAAACTTCTCCATAGACTTTATTTAGTGACATGTTTGCTTCTGAAATTTTGTTTTTGGTTGCATAATGCTGAGGTATTTTGAATGAGTCTTGATCTTTTTGGCACAAATCTTATCACATCCCAAGTTGTTATATAAACTTCTAATCATCAGTAGGACTTATTAGCCCCTTTGAGACACGTGAGGCTGTGTGATCGTGCATCCAACTGATCTGATCGTGTTTTCCTGCAGACTGGCTCGTCCTCACCAGCTGTTCTTCAGTGGGACGGTGAAAGGAGAGAGCGCCATGACAAGTCTGGAGGACATCGGCAGTCCTGTGGATTTAGAGTTTGTGGTGAGGAAAAAATTGTGATGCATGACATGAATAATATGCAGTAATTAGCAGAATTTAATGACATTACTTGTGTCTAATATGTTATAGGTGACAAATCCCGGAAAAGCTCTCCAGACCCTTGGTTCTGCCTTCCTGAACATCATGTGGCCCAATGAGCTGGCCAATGGGAAGTGGCTCCTGTACCCTGCTAACTTGACATTTCTGGGCCACCCAGACACACAATGCACTCCGGCAGGAGCCTTGAATCCTCTGAAGCTGCAGAGCGCCTCTCCTGCTGGCAGTTCACTACCTGCTGATCAGAGAGTATGAGAAACATCTGATTTATGACAGCTAGCTTTAATGTGTTTGATCGTGTTTGAATCAGTCTAGTAATAAATGCTGCTAATGCCAGTGTTTACTGTCTTGTTTTACTATAGTACATAACTATGCATATACTTTTTCCCAATATTTGACAATTTTTGATTTGTGGAAATATCAAATTATTCCTGAGTTTATCTACAAAGCCAGAATGTTCACACAAATCTTTCTCAACAGGTGGGGAGAGCTCGCCGCTCCCATCCAGAGGAGGAAGATCAAGTGATGACAAAAAGCAGCAATGGCCGTACCACGCCCGCTGTGGCAGCTTCAGAGAGACGCAAGTCTCTCAAACTGGTAAAAACAAAGAAACAAAAATGTATCCAGCGATCTAAAAATGATGCAAACACAAGAATTTATGTTTTTCTCTTCCTCAGGATTGTCTCCTTGGTTCGGCGCGCTGCGTGCTGTTCCAGTGTCCTCTCCACAGCTTTACTGGTCAGGCAGTCCTCAAAATCCATGCCAGACTGTGGAACGGCAGCTTCATAGAGGTGACAGACTACATTCTGACATAAACACATGAAAATTAGAAGCATGACCTTTTTAATCTGACTGTCTTTCTAATACGTGGCAGTCAGATTCAGCTTAAGTACTTAGCTAATGGACCTGGAGACAAATACTTGCAGCAAGTGCACGTACAGAATGATGAATGCTTGGATGTTACTGGAAATTTCATTTGTGGCCACTGAGTCATATAAATGTAATATTTCCAAAAAAATATATTTGCTGTTTTCCATTTTAACTGAAGGGAGGATATAATTTGAAACTCATTTAAAATTGTAAATGTATTTTTTGAATATTTAAAATAGGGGCTAATTCATTAGAGGCTTTGAAATTAATTAATCTTGATTAATCACATTTTAATTGTTCAAGACAATTTGTGCCGAAGCGACAAAAAATAATGTCAGTGAGGCACAGATGATATACCCACACTTTAATGAGGACATTTCTGTAATCACGAAGTCTATTTGTTTACTTTGGTGTCATTACAAAGATAACTGTTACTGATAACACACACACACACACACACCTGAGTAAATAATTCTTATAGACACAAAAAAGTTAACATTGAGGAGTTAGTGATTTTCAAGGGTATAGCTAAATGTTTTTACTTATTTATTGAAAACAATCCATTGAAATATTTAATAATATTAACTTTCATTGTGTGTGTGTGTGTGTGTGTGTGTGTGTGTGTGTGTGTGTTGTGAAGTGCCTTGGGGGGTTGTAGAACCCTAAGAAGGTGCTTTATAAATTCAGGCCATTTATTAGTATAAGTGTTATTGACGAATGTACATGGATGCTCTGCTGAGGATTACAAGATGACTGCTGTGTGCATGCTTGTCCCTCCTGCTTTTAATAAAGTTCATATGGGTGAAGTTACTGCCTGCCTGCTTTCTACCACCTAGAAACTATATAACGGTAAAAACAGATGTTTTTCTTCTTTTCAGTTCAATTCAATTCAATTCAAAAATACTTTATTAATCCCAGAGGGAAATTGCTGTAGTAGCTCAGAATAATAATAATAATCAAGTTGTCAAAGAGTTATTGTATATTACAATGGCTGTTGGCAGGAAGGATCTCCAGTAGCGGTCAGTGTTGCAGCGAAACTGAAGAAGCCTCTGACTGAAGACACTCTTCTGTTGTTGGACAGTCTTGTGAAGAGAATGCTCAGGGTTGTCCATAATTTTCTTGATTCTCTGGAGAATGCTTCTTTGCATTATCTCCTCCAGTGGTTCCACAGTCATCCCCAGAACAGAACCGGCCTTTGTTATTAGGCTGTAGAGCCTTTTCAGGTCCCTGCTTCCGATGCTACTACCCTAACAGACGATGGCTGAAGAGATTACACTCTCAACAACAGACTGTGGTGCTCCAGTGTTACTGATTGCCTGGTTTGATGTGCAGTTCTTCAGTCTCACAAACTGTGTTCTGTTTGTCAGGTAATCTTTAATCCAGGCAATAGTTGAGCCCCCCACCTGTGTCTTCTGGAGTTTCTGGCAAAGTACATCACTCTGAATTGTGTTAAATGCACTGGAGAAATCAAAGAACATGACCCTCACAGTGCTGCCTGCTTTGTCCAGATGACAGTGGGTTGGTTGAAGCAGCTGGATGATGGCATCTTCAACTCAAACTCCATGGCGATAAGCAAACTGCAGCGGGTCATGACATGTTCTAGTTTGCTTATTCAGGTGGACCAACAGGAGTCTCCAGGACCTTCATGATGTGGGATGTCTGGGCAACTGGTCTGTAGTCGTCACTGACTGATGGGCGAGTTTTCTTTGGAACTGGAACAAGGCAGGATGTCTTCCACAGAACTGGAACCTTCTCCTGGGCCAGGCTGAGGTTGAAGAGGTGCTGCAGAATCCCACAGAGCTGCTCTGCACAGGCCTTCAGTACTCTGGGGTTGACACCATCTGGACCTGCAGCCTTATTCCTGTTCACTCTCTCCAGCTGCCTCTTCACCTGACTTCTAGAGACAGATAGGTGGGAGGGGGAAGTAACTGGGGCAGCAGCATCTCCTGACTTGGTTGAAGACAAATTTATAGAACCAGAAGAGTTCATGACTGTGTTAGAGGACAAAAGAGCTGGCGTGTGACAGGAAAATGTTGGATCAGAGGAGGATGGGATGTCTGATTGGCTGGGGACAGGCGAGGAGGATGCTGGGTTTGTTCCTGAACTGAACCTATTGAAGAACTTGTTCAGTTCACTGGCTGTGTCCAGGCTGCCATCTGTTCAATTCTTCCTCTGCTTGAAGCCTGTGATCTTCATCCCTGACCAGACATCTCTGATATTGTTCCTCTGTAGCTTGTTCTCCAGCTTCTTCCTGTATGCCTCCTTGCTGTCTCTGATCTTGATCTTCAGTTGCTTCTGTATACTCCTCAATAATTCCCTGTCTCCCTCCTTGAAGGCTCTTTTTTTCTCATTTAGCAGATTCTTCAGTTCACTGCTAATCCAGGGTTTGTTATTAGCGAAGCATCTCACTGTTCTGGTGGGTATGATATTGTCCACACAGAAGCTTATGTAGGCAGTGACACATCCAGCCATGGCATTGATGTCCTCTTCATATCCTTGGCAGAGAGTCATCCAATCTGTGGTCTCAAAACAACCCTGCAGGGCTTCTTCAGCGTTCAGTGACCATTTTCTCACAGTTCTTCTTGTCACAGGTTGCCTCTGAACAAGTGGCAATTCTTTTCTTAATGAAGAGGGATTTGTCACAACCCTTTTAAATATAGTTTTAGTTGTGTTTGGAGAATGTAAAAACGTTTATATGGTCTTGTAGCACAGGCTCTGCTGTTTTTGTTAGATGTGCAGCTTTATTGATATATAGGGCATCAGTTGTGATGTGAAACTTTTCCGGCCCCCTTGGGCTCAAATGGGGTATTTTCTCTAATTAATTAATCTTAATTAATAAACTTTAATCATTACATTTATTTCTTTTTACATCCTTTTTTCACATTTTGTCTCAACTATTTAATATTTATTATATCAGTGTTGCTATTGAGAATATAAATAGTCATATAAATTTCAAATATCTAATGTCACATTTAAATGGCTAAGTACAAAGTTTACTCATTGATTTTTTTCACTCTTGGCATCAGGAATTCCCGTCAGTCAGTGCTCTGGAGCTGCTGGTCAGAGCCAACATCACTGTGAAGTCCAGCATCAAACACCTGGTCCTCAGGGAGGCAGCGGCTCAGGTATCCTCTTGATGGCTAAAGTAAAACACTTACCATAAAATAGAACTACATTTTCTCACCCTTTGAAGTGATGAATCGGTTTCGGACATGGATTGTTTTAAATAAACTGCACGTATAATCCATAACAGATTCCAGTGATGATTTACCCAGAACCAGGTCTAGCTGATCAGTACTGGATCCCCTGGTGGATTATCCTGATAGCCATCCTGGCAGGCATCCTGCTGCTGACTCTCCTAGTCTGTTTATTGTGGAAGGTAACATTCACAACTTTTACTTCTTTGTTTCACAAGTGCATCTGCCTTAAAATGGTAATAATATTGTATATGAATGGGCTTTTTTAAAGTGGTTCTTATAAATCACTGAAATTATGCAGAGGACAAGATGCAATCATGAACACTCATTTTGTTTAGGTAAATGTTTTATTATAGTTTTTATTTAGTGTTTAATTATTTCACAAACGCTAGTTTGTAAAATAAGTAGGTGTAATCAAAGTTTTTTCCAACCCCTGAAATCCTTCGTAAACACTTAGAATTGTCTCCTCTATCATTGTATTATTTCTCTACTTTACCTTTTGTATACATATCCATCTTTCCAGCTCAGCTCCAAATTTCCTTCTCTCCTTTCACACTGTTTTTTGTGTTGTCTCATCTCTGTGTTTTAAACAATCTTTTTGTCTCAACATTCTTCTTTCCCTCCACTCCCCTGTGGTGATCCGATGCCTCAGTGTGGGTTCTTCAAGCGCAGCGAACGGCGCCCGCACTATGAGACAGAGTACTACCGGGCCCACTTGGGGGTCCAACCCTCGGAGGTGGAGAAGCAGGCATCAGAACTATGATATCAGAACTATTTACATCCGGCCTGCTTTCTCCTCCTCCTCTTCCTCCAAGCGGTAAAAATCCTCCCAAACGCCGGTTTTTGCTCCTCGGCCCGCTCTAAGGCTGGTGGTGTTCATTAAAGCAGGAAATAAGAGCGACAGCTTTGGCTCGAATACCACAGCAGTGATGTCTACAACAGGGTCATTGATAGTGTTCTTGCTTCCTGCTGCCTGAGGCCCCATTCTGATTTGTGCGGTTTAATACAAAAAGTTCATATTTTTTACCCCCAGAATGAGTTGGAATTGTTGATAAGTTATCTCTTTTAGAGTCAAAATTACAAGCTGGATTTTTAGGCATGTGACCATAATTTCTTACTAGTGTTGTAAAAATAAATAAGTAAAGAAAAGAAAGGCAGAAAGAATATTGTTTTATTTAATTTGATCATTTTACTTTAATAGATTTTTAATCATGTAATCCAAAAAATAAAAATAAGTATTTGGATTAAAACATTTAAAAGTGTGGAACTCTGAAAACCAGTTTTAAAATTAATATTTCTGATTATAATCAGTCACTCTTGAGTTTTTCATGAAGGCTCAACATGAAAACAGTCTCCTACACCTATCTCTTATCTCTCTGTGAAAGAAAACAGATGGTGAAACTCTAGAATTAGAAAAACCTGACGGATCTACATCACACTGTTACTTAACATTCATGGATCTCACCCATCTTGACTCACAACAGGGAAGGCTGTTGTTGGTTAAGAGTCCAGGAAACAGCAGAGAATGTCTCTACTAGCAGAAGCTAACCGTTAGCGTTAGCATCACCACTCAGAAAAAGTCCCCCAGACTTGTATTATTTGTGGAGATAAAACATCAGCGTTGCATGTCAGTGGTGGATTTGTGTTGCTGTTATGCAAGAGATGTACAAACATCAGGAAATAAGACTCCAAATCCTGCCATGCTGCCACAGGCTTGTCTCTGCTGATCAAGCACAGCTTGCAAGGCATTAATTCCTACCATAGACCACTGCAAATGTGTTGATTAAACGAGTTTCCCACACCTTTAACACTAACAAGCCAGTGAGAAACATCTTATGTTGCAACGAGACAGAGACACACATTTTGAGTTACTTAAGTTTACTATAATTCCTTTCATTTTCATCTTGGTAAGTCTCTGTGATAGTTTGTATTTCAAAAATTAAGTTTTTAACAGTTAGTTTTTTGCTTTTTAGCTTCTAGTTTTCTAGGCAAACACTAAAATAAATTGGGTATTTAGCCGGAAGGCAAAGCTCTTGATTTACCGGCCCATCTACTTTCCTACCCTCACCCATCATCACGAGCTTTGGGTAGTGACTGAAAGAACGAGAGTGTGGATACAACCGCGTGAAATAAGTTTTCTACGCAGGGTGTCTGGGCTCTTCCTTAGAGATAGGGTGAGAAGCTCTGTCATCCAAAAGGGGCTCGGAGTAGACCCGCTGCTCCTCCACGTCGAGAGGAGCCAGTTGAGGTGGCTCATGTATCTGGTTAGGATGCCTCCTGGACGCCTCCCTGGTGAGGTTTTCTGGGCACGTCCAACCAGGAGGAGACCCAAAGGAAAACCCAGTACACGTTGGAGGGACAATGTCTCTCAGCTGGCCAGGGAACACCTTAGGATTCCCCTGGAGGAGCTGGCCCAAGTGGCTGCAGATAAGCGGCTGAAGATGATGACTAAAATAAATCAACAAGATTGGGTGTTGATCAGAAAATACATTCTAACAAATAATGATTATGTACTTAATTTTACACAATTTGATCATTTCTAATACGCTTTAATACATTTTACCTCACATTTTTGTGCACTGGTTAATACAAAGTAATGGCTATTTTTTACAGTGTAGTTAAGCTCGTAATGCAATTTTAGTTGCTTTAGTTCATTTAAAAGATTTATAATATTTCTGAGTTATTTCAGTTCCGGCTATGGATCAGTTGGTCATGTATCACTGAGGCAACGTTAAAATTGGTTAACGGACCTAAAACAATAGTTGTCTCCTGCTAGTTGAATGTACACATTAATAACTCACATTCATTCAGTATTAGGAAGCAAAGATGATAATTGTTGAGCGTTGGTCTGTAATTGGTGCCTGCTGAACACCATCCAGCCGTCTTCGCCTCAGGGTTTTGACACGCCTGCTGTGCTGTGTGTGGTGCCTCTTACTGTTTAATTATCTGCACCTGTTCATTCTGGCATCAGCCTATGAAGGCTATTCCTTTTTTTTAAGTTACATGTCATACATTTTTTAACCATGTTTGATTTGCATCCAGGTGCCAGAATGAACCTTTAATTAGGATCACTGGGTGTTTTTGTTCATCTTTAACTGTGTTTGTTAAATGGTGCTTTATACTCTTATGCTTTATGGCAATTTTGAAATGTGTTTCTGTGTGAAAAATATAAACAATTAGCATAGTAGATGTGGAAGCTTGTTAAATGGCAGCTAATATGTATGTTTACATCCATCATCACTTCAGGAATTAAGTCCATATGGATTCAACTAACAAGCTGAACCCAACCCCAAAGTCGGTTAATGCCATCTTAAAACAGCTCCAATCCAGCAAATTTCAGTTCATGCTAACATTACTTTATCAATCTTTGCCTATTTACTTCAGCTCAAAATGTGACATTCTTGTCAGACCTCACACCTGGATGCAACACAAGTGAAATGTTTAAATTAAACAACCAGGTTTTTACATCTAAATAACAATCTAAAACTGTGAAATATGGACACTGGAGCTGTTTAAAGATGACAATGATCCACTTGGGTCATAGCTGCATTTGGACTAACCGTTAGCTCATCAGTCCTGAAGGATGGAAACACTATTACTCTAAAAAAGGCTTTTCAGAAGGCAAATAATTTAGATGTATAATATTTTCATGGTTGGTAAAAGTCCTTAAAAAGTAAGAATAGACACAGATAATTACATTTTAATTTCAAAACTGGACAGTAATAATGGTAGCAATTGCTTTTACACAGAAACTCAATTCATCAATGTGGCTAAAAAGTCTCTTCAATGTAGATTTATAAACTTGGAGCATGGCAACATTTGTTGTTTTTGGTGTGCTTCACAAAATGTAGTCATTACAGAAGGACTTTTAGATCAAATTTATTTTTATTTGTGACATCAGTAAATTCTGTTTGTCTTTTCCTCCTTCCACCTATTTTTTCCCTCTTTAATTTCCACTTCTACTCCCTCTCCTTCCTGCGTGTGCACAGTGTGGCTTCTTCCAACGTGGCCACCACAAAGACAAACTTCCCCAGTACCACGCGGTGAAGATTCCACGCGAGCTCCGGCCACAGTTCCAGACTGAGAAGTCCGGATGCGTCCATAAAAAGGAATGGGCCACGCACTGGAGCGATGGGACACTGTAACTCTGTTTGACTCGAACAACTCAAATGTGGCACTCGTTCTGTCTTTGCATCGAAACTAACTGACTAAAGGAAACGTGCACAATGACTGGGATGGAGAGATCTTGTGCACACTGTCAGTGCGTACATATGAACCTGAGAGCCAATCCACGCCCTTCATTCTGCAGCCTCCTAACTGCTAGCCTCAGTCTGTTTGCAGCGTGACTCACAGCTTGACAAGTGAATGTTGAAGGCCAACAACAACAACATCAGATAGCTGCTCGACATGTTTCCCAGCGCTGACACTTTGCTGTCAGCAGTTCTGACTGGCAGAGTAAAGGAGGACTGAAAATCAAAGACATGCATGAATGCACAAACGTGCCAGACCCCATTAGATGCATTCAAACACACTGATTTATAGGGTTGATGTGTGAATAAGACTATTAACTACTGTGAGAGTAAAATGAGCATGGGCAATAAAGAGAAAAGGAAAACGCCTTTATAATAAAGAATGCTTGGGGGTCTTTTCCCTTTGCTGTAATAGTAAAATCTAAGAACACAAAACTGAATATGTACCTCAAATGGCTGCCCAAACAAATTCCTTTTCTTCCCCCAACATTATTAAAATAAATAATTAAAACAAAGCCATTTATGTTTTTCTTTCCCCTTTTGTTTAAAGTAGTGCCAGTCAAATCCACTGTACATCACGTGTCTACTGCCTGAGTGATCTTGAATAAAAACATGAAACATGTCCATAGAGCTGTTGCTGCATGAAAACAAAGGATGTCAGGAAAGCAAACCAATATTTACAGTTTTAAAAAATCCACCTGCACTCTAAAAAAGGAAATGTGGAATTTACTTAACTGAGTTATGCCAACTGGTTCCACTAACTAAACAATTGCTTAAATGTACAGAGGAACAAAAGGCGTGTTTCCTCTTCAGGTAAATTTACAGGAGCTTCACTCGACCGAGATGGCCAAACGGCCGTTTTCAGGAACTTTCTGAGTATGTGATCGGGGGTAAGTGCTCAGATTGGCCCGGTGGAGTTGCTGGGTGGAAATGTTGGTATACTTACACTGACTGGTTGTAACTTAGCAGGAAATTACATCAACAGACAACCAGCAGTAGTAGAGCTGCTTGTGAAGCAGAACTGACACAAAAGAAAATTAGCAGCAATCTTAAAATTGACATTACCAAACTTCCAACGCCGGAAAGCACGGTGGAATTCCCCCTCAACGACTTCATTCATGAAATATTTTGATGAAATAAAACTTTTAATGCTATTAATGTTACTGTGGAGGCCTTTTGGTGATGATCAATGACAGTACTCACTGCCAAAGCAGTGGTGAATTGCTGACATCTGTGCAACATCCTGAAAAAGCTGAATTTGAATGGAGACAACAGCTGAGAGGACCGGGACATCTTATCTCCTGAAGCTCCAACAATTGAAACATGCCTATACATTAATTTAGAACATAACAACGTATAACAATGTTTATTGCTCTTTACATGTAAGAAACTAATTTTAATGGAACCAGTTGATGTAATTTGGTTAATTAAGCTCAACGTTTACATTTCTTAGGCTCTGTACACACGTAGCCAGGTATCACACTAAACAAAGATCTGTTTTTACGGTTTGGCCTGTCCTCCGCACGAAAGCTAAGATAAACAAAACTAAAAATTATTCTTTCTAAATCTCCAACCAAGGTGGAGATTTACAAATTATCTGTTGTCAGCATTTGCTTGTAGATATAAATAACCAGGGTTTTGGGGGTTTGCAACGTCACTGTCTGAGACAGAAATTACATCACATGTGACCTGTGTAGAAGACCACAAGTGAAGGGCGAAGTTAAGGACGGACATTGCCTACTACCTATGCCACGTGAGGAATGTTTTGCAGCAAAGATGCCAAAGATTTGTGGAGCTACTGCCACCTACAGGCTTGGCATGGCATGGCTTGTGTGTCACAATGCACTGGATGTTTGCTGAAAACGAAGTGTTTTAATCCGAGATGGGCGAGATGGATATTAAGTTTTACAAAGATGCTGCTACGTGTGTACATGGCTTTAGAGGATGGACTTTTAAATAAAATTACAGAAATATACTTGAGGTTTTGGAGTTAGTTTTAGTTTTATTTTTTTTGCTGAGCTGCATTTTGATGTGTATTTTCCACCTGGAGATGAACAAGTTGTGAATAAATACTTTTAGATTTTAATCTTAAACACTCATTTTGAGAGAAATGGAGCATTTGTTTCAGGCCTGACGTATAATTCTGAACACGTGCCTTATTGTAAATGTGGCAGATGGTTACAAACGATGCTGCTGCTAATGAGATGATGCCGCCTTCAGACATCTGTTGGACACAGGTGGACGGGTAATTCATCCCTCCAATGATGGAGTGATACAACAAGAAGGCAAAATGGGTTTGAAATAAGCAGATAAAGCTTAAATTTTATTAAATGTTTTGGATTGGATGGGAAGCATGGTGGGACCGCTTGGATTTAGGTATTGCTGGACAATCATCTGTGTCGGCTGCATGAAGGTCCTGTCACTGTTCTGATGCCCCCAATTATCATTTTCTGTCATTTGTTTTATTTATTTTTCTGTTTGGCTGTCCTGTTTTACCATTGTAAATAAAGGTAAATAAAACTGACATTTTCTTCTGGTCTAGATTATAGTCAGTAAAGCTCCAAAACGTTGGAATATTGAAGGCTGCAGTTCACAAACACAACAAAGGGGGGAGACAGAATGTGAAACTCTATAAACCGACACAAGCCTTTTATTTTGTAAAATCCAACAATCCACAACAGAAAAATGGACTCTGTGTTGTAAACGTACAAAATTATAAAGAACAAATTCACATCATGTAAATAGAAAAATACAAACTGATGATGAAATAGCATTTAAGATTTAAAAAGTGTTTATTTTCTTCTAATTTCTATTAAAAACAATCTAATCTAAACTTTCTTTTGGCATGCTAAATAAAACATGGGATTTCATTGATCTCCACGAGGAGGACATTACATTATCAGGTGAGTTTTGTCATTAAAAATAAAAATAAAACATCATTTTCAGTGTAAACCTAAATAAAACAAATACATCACAGTCCAAAAAAAATACCCAGGAATAAACTCACCTTATTGACAAACCTTGAACCATATTTTTTGCCTTTCTGAAATGATTATACAATACTTTAGATTTGTCTTTAATCCCATAAATAACACAAGAAGTGACATCAGGTGTGTTGCAGATGTTTCACGTTTAAACTGAACAAATGTTCAAAATCACAGCACAGACTAATCAGATGTTCTTCGTTTCTCAAGATAGAATAAGCAAATTAGGTTTCTCCTCCTAATCAAAGCTTCAGATCTCATTATAGTAATAAAAGCCAAATCCCCTCTGAATCTGTCAGATGTCATCCTGGTTGCCATGGAAATTAAACGATGCTGATGAAACTGTGTTTAAGCGGATTGTCACCCATTAGGTACACTGACGAGCCAAGCCTGTTGACGTGTCATTCCTTTCTGTGGAAGTGAATGACACACACACATACACACACACACACACACACACACACACACACACACACACACACACACACACACACACACACACACACACACACACACACACACACACACACACACACACACGCAGAGAGAACACATATGGCTTTATTAGCTGTATGTCACTGTCAGTAATAGAGGAAAGAGCTGTCTTCCTTTGAAATAAACACAATTATGGAAGCTGATGAGCACTGGCTGAGCCTGGTAGCAGGAAGAGGATTTTCAGGCACTTTATAAACCTTCACTAAGTCTCTTACATTTATTATTTAGTCAGGTGAGAGTTACTCTGGCAACGAATCACTAACAGCCAGAGGAACTGTGAGGGTGGCTAGTTACCAATGCTCTATAGCTTATTATTTACCTAACTGACTTCCACATGATGTGCTTCACTTTAGGAGGAATACAATGATAACATCAACTTGAACAAAAACTGGTGAAAATTCTGCTTTAGTCGTATATCTTCTCCCTCTTCTGTAGCAGTCCTTTCCTCTCCTCCGTTCTATTTCATTTCCATCTCCAAGTCCACTGGAATTAAAATCAACCAAATGCTTTGCCAATAAAGTTTTGACATCAGGCCATTACAGCTGAATCTATAAGGCTTGCTTTTGGCACTCAAACATCAGTTCTGCTTTACAGCTGGACAGGACGCAGGAGGAAAAAAGAAAAGAATCATGGTCACATTCTGGCTCGGGTTATTTGCCAATTCTTCAGGAAGACTGGATAGGATTCCTGTTCCTCTTGCAGACAAAAATCTAATTTGGGTAAACTTTATTTAAAGTGCAGGGTTGATACGAAAGGAATCCCCTTTCCACAACTGTGGAGATTAATCTCCCCTCTAGCTACACAGACATACTGGGCGTTAGTGTTTACAGTCCAAGTGAGCAGGGATCCAGACTTGAGACTCTCCGGATGGGGAGGAGCAGAGCATGATGATGCAACCATGCACCCACCCTGGCTTCTGCAGCAGCTGAGCACACCAGCAGAGGATTTGGAGCTAAGAAAGGAAGATGCATGAATGGAGCCAAAAATTGCTTTTGGGATGTTTTTCATGAGGAAATTAAAATAAAACTTGGCCAAAAACCCCAAAGAGTGAATTTTGCATGAAATAGGACCGTACAGTATTTGATTAGTGAAATTTGTTATGTCACTTGGCCAACACCAGGGAGCCTGGAGTTGAACATGGAACACTTATGGTCATAAATAAGCATTTTTTTCTGCATGTGTGGTTACTATATTTATTTTAAACACAAATGTGAACATTTTTTAAGTCATTCAGTCATCACGCCAGAATCTATTTTAATAACCTACTTTGTGGTTCAGCTGAAATTTGCTGTATGGTGACAGTTATCTTTTGAAGAGGTTAAATAGTATTATTGAAGTTAATTATTTAAATCAGATGCATATTTGAGGGTTATTTTGGACAAATGATTTTAAAAATAAGTTTAAATGTCCATAATTTAAATATACTTTACAGTAGTCTGTTTTGTATTTTTGCAGTTTAGTTCATTATTTTAAGACTCTAGGTCACAAAACTAGTCCCGAGTAGTACTACTCATATTGATGCACGAGTTCTTTGTCCATAAATGTTCTTCTCTCTGCACGTCAGGTGTGAACTACAGGACATCAGGGACCAGTGAATCAGGCTCCATTTGCAGGGATTTATCTGTTTAATAACTGTGAGAGTTGTGTTGTTCCACCCTGAGGACTTCATAATAATGCACTCAGGCTCTCAGTCCTCACTAATGCCACACCAAATGGACCTGCTTAAGCCTTATATGTTCTCTTCCGTCAGGTCCCTTGTTACCCTTCTTTACAGGAGCATATTTCTCCAACTCTCCTGGGGGTTTCCAGCCCCTGACCTCCAGGTCTATAAAAAAACCAGGGCGGGTTCTGCCGCCAATGAATTCAGCCAAGACACCACGTAGAGAGAAGCCAAATCGGACGAAGCCGTTTCTGTGTTCCAGGAGCTTCATCTTAAACTGCTCTGGTGCAGTTCAGCATCATTCTGACGTGCTCTCCAGCTTCAGACCATGGACACAGCTGCAGTGGTGACTCTTCTGGCTCTGGTGATGGCGGTGGCTGGCGCCAGTCAGGCTCTTCACGTCCAAGGCTTTCTGGATAAAAATGACATCCAGCCTGGCTCCTCGGAGGAGAACATGGCCGACCGCCTGCTGGGGCTGGTGAGAAAAAATAAAATAAAAAATCACTCACATATTTGAAATGCAAATTCTTCACTCCAGGAACTGAATTCATGCAAGCTGTCTCTGACATATTTATTCTGCTTCGGCATGCAAATATATACAGATGTTAGTCCAACAATACATTAAAAAGCCTCCATTCCTGTCAAGTTGCAAACATAAACAAGACGTGGATGGCTAGAAAATGGTAATCTTACAAAAAGTTCATTTTTATGTCAAGTGTTGTCATTTAAAAGTAGGGTAACCTGAAAGATGCTGTGAACAAGTAGAAGTCACAACAACTGGCGCACGCTCTGTTATTTCATGAGCTTCAGCCTTTAAATAAGCCTTTTACTGAGCAAGAGGCTCAATGGCATAACCCTGTTAGATTTTTAAAGCACCTCTTTTCATGCAACACCATAACAAAACACTTTTTATTCTGAGGTTTCACACGAGACATCCAAGGCTGGAAGGAGCCTGATAAAAGGCTTGAATTCAGATAACAATTTAAAATAAAAAATCTTCTTGTAGCATGCTGGAGCAGACAGATCTGAGTAGAGTGTTGCATGAAAATAAGATAAAAAGAGCATTTTTTTTGCTTTTGTGCACAGACACACATTTCAGGGTCTCATGATACTTGAGGACACCCAAGGAAACCTGGAACTGATATGTTTTTGTTAAATTACAAAAGACACACTTTCTGATAGATTTTATGATTCTGTGTGTGTGTGTGTGTGTGTGTGTGTTTCTGTTGAATGTGTATGATTGCTCTAGGAGGCTGACAGCAGAGACAACAGCTTTGATGATCATCTTTTGGCTTCAGCGTTAAGAGCTCTGCTGCTCGGATCCCAACGAGAAATCAGGGAATCTGTTCTCCATCAGCCACAGAGGTCAGAAGATCAGCAGTGCTTTTATTCATCCTTTAATAACAAAGTCTGCAAAGCAGGACCTTCCCTTTTCTAGTTCTGCTGCCTGCCTGAATCCCATACTCATCTTGCATAAATCTAGATGGCAAACTGCTAAATCAGTCCCAATTTATTATGATAATAAAATGCATTTGTGGTAAGAGTTGCAGCAGAAGAGCTGACGAGGCACATGCAGCTGCAGAGCTGCATGTTTCCGACCCCTGCCTCTAAGGCTCCTGTTATCTGAAGTTGGGTATGAAAAAAAACCATTAAACTATTTGCTGCTACTCTCAACATCTGCAGTTTCAAATGGCACAGAGAGCAATAAGTACCATTATTATTCATACCAGAGGCATCCATTTGGATAAGTGGCTCAAGAGGTAAATGCTCTTATTATAATAAAAATGGGAACATGTTTTTTTCTATCTGAAGTGGCCTCACCTGAAAGTTTAACAAGGAAATCCCTGCAGTGCCACTTATTTCTTTCTGTAATTCTAACTATTAAAGTAAAACATTGTGATTTAGGGGTAACTAACCTTTATATAATAAAAAAATCCTCACTATCTGAATGTAGATTGATACTTTGAATTTAAATATTTAATTGCATATTCAAACATTTCTGTTTAATGGCTTCAACCCTTTACTAAATAATGAGTTTAAATAGGATTCTTGAGAAAAATCTGTACATAAAAAAGTGAAGAAAAAAAATCATTTAGCTTGAACTACATCTGCTTGGCCTCTGGTTTCTCCTCCCACGCAGGTTTGGGCGCAGCTCCAGAGGGCAGGTTGTGTTGGAGGATCAGATACAACCCCGGGACTGGGAGGCAGCCCCCGGTCAGATCTGGAGTATGGCCGTGCCCCAGAGATTTGGCAAGAAATAATCTGGCAGGCAGATCCAGACATTACTACATCCTACATGGCCAAGCACTGGACAGATGTGAACAGACTACATTGAAATGAGCATTGAATTAGAACCAGTAACCCTCATTCAACACTTGAATTTTATCTAAGGATGACATTAATGTTTTGTTTTATGTTTTTTGTCTAATTTATATTGTTGCATGTGCCTTTGGGGTGTTCTGAGCAAACTTTGTTTGTACTGACTGGAATGTGATCAAGGACTAAACGTGTTTGTTGCAACGTGATGGCCTTTGATTTTATTTTCTCTGTTTTTCAGTCAAATAAATACTGCTTTGATCCAGAAAGGGGTGTGTGTGTGTGTGTGTGTGTGTGTGTGTGTGTGTGTGTGTGTGTGTGTGTGTGTGTGTGTACAGCATGGTGAGGACAGTTTTTTCATGTTTAACCTGTAACGTGGGGACATTTTAGAATTGTGAGAACATTTGGCTCATTGCCATTTTGAAAAAAGTCCAATTCTTGGTTTCAGATTTAGGGTGTGAATTAACTTTTATGGCTCCAAGGTTTAGAAGTAGACCACTACTGGTTCTGGGTTGGGCTAGGCATGCTCCAGTCACATTCATTTATAAAAATCAAGGACAGGTCACCACAAGTAAAGCAATACAAACACGTGGGTTAAATAGGATTATTGAACACATATCAACAAAATGCTAAATATCACTAATATCAACATTCATATCTTCAAAATTCAAGGATAATGTTTAAACTTTAATAGCCATCCATTATTTGAAGGAACAACTAATTTTATATATTTTTTATATTACTACTGATAATAATAATAATAATAATAATTATTATACTACTACTACTACTACTACTACTACTACTACTACTACTACTACTACTACTACTACTAATAATAATAATAATGATGCTGCGATGGACTGGCTTTCTGTCCAGGGTGTTCCCCGCCTGCTTGCCCGTTGACTACCAGAGATAGGAGATTGGCACCAGCCCCCCAGCGACCCTGCATGGCCAAAAGGATTCAGATCATGGATAGATGGATAATAATAATGGGAGCGGCACAGTGGTTTGCTCTGTTGCCTTGTAGCAAGGAGGTCCTGGGTTCACATTCTGGCCTGGGGTCTCACTGCAAGGAGTTTGCACGTTTTCCCTGTGCATGTGTGGGTTTTCTCCAGGTGCTTCCTCCCACAGTCCAAAAACATGGCTGTCAGGTTGATATCTGTCTAAATTGTCCTCAGGTGTGAGTGTCTGTGTGCTTGATTTTTTGTCCTGTGTGTCTCTGTGTTGCCCTACGGCGGACCGGTAACCTGTGCAGGGTGCACCCCGTCTGCTTGCCCAGAGACTGCTGTAAATAGGCACCAGCCCCATGCAACCCTGCGAGAATAAGAAAATGGATGGATAATAATAATAATAATGATAATGAGTTGATGAGCAGCCAGAATGTATAAATAATTGATTGTCCAGAGATAAACATATCTTAAGCACTATTAAACACTACTATCATGCCTGTTATTTCGCTGACTAGGATGCTGTTTATATTATCTTGGTTCTTTTTTGTTCACGTTGTTAACATCAATGGGGACCCACTTCAAACCAAGATGGTTCATCTCAAGTGCTTTATCCCCCAAAAATATAAGTTTATAAACAAACAAACAAACAAATAAATATGATATTTATATTCTTTTAATGTTAGGCAGTATGGATAGAAGATGTATATGCTGTAACAAACCTACAGAACAACCTAGGTTTTGAAACACGGTCACGAGACACTCTCCTCTCATCTTGGGTATCCTCCCTGAGATGCTCAGGCCATAACTGTAAACCCACATTAGTCACAGTAAAGGAGAATGTGCTAAAGTCGCCGTTTTCTAGGTCCAAACATCTTTTGTTGTCTGTGACTTCAAATGGTGTTTTTCTTTTTGGGACTCTGGTAGTTTGTCCTAAAGTTGAAGTGGTAGCAGCCGGCTGTTTCTCTTTCTCTGATGTTATTGAGCAGAGAACCTCTCACCAGTGGTGTTCTGTTGCTAAGTATGTGAGTGTGTTATGAGCGGAGGACCCAGGGAAGTGCGGTGGTTTGGCGAGACCAGCATCCGCATGTCCCAATAATTGCTTTTGGTAGAGGTTCTCTTGACAAATGCAAGATGACCACTTAATTATTTTTCTTAATTGTTATTTATTTATTGTTTTTAAATCTCCACAATATATTTATAGCTATACTATGCCAGAACGTTGTTAAGAGGCATAAAAAAAATGTTTGAAGCTAATTTGTTTTCCAAACTTGCCATTGCAGCTTTCTTACTAGAAAATAATTTATTTCCAGTTCTCTCTTCATTTTTATTTTTTATTTTTATCTTGCAACTTGTCTCATTCCACAAGACAAGATCACCTGATAGAGCTGGATAAAGGTTTGGGTCTCAGCTTCTTGATGCTGATGTTTGAATGTTCAAATCCCAGCAATGGTTAATCTTAGCAGTCTTGTATCATAAAGTTTGTTTCAGCAGGTCCACAGTGGGTTAATCAGTCTCTTGGTGCCACATTTGATCCTCCTACTGGAATGTAATGATCTAAGATTTTACCACACATCTGTCTGTACCAGCTCAAATAATAAAACACAGTTTCTTTATAAAGATCCATAGCCAAACACATAGTTTGTTCACTTCAGGCAACAGAGTAATAACGGGTCTGTTTAAATGGGCTCAGGATAGTTTTATCCAGCATCTCTTTAATGTAAAGTCAAGTGCTGTCTTTGTCCACAAGCTGTTGTCTTGATTTACAGGCACCTGGAGAAACAGCATACAATAAGCTGGAGCACTAATTAAAACATGGCAACATGCAATTACTCCTCGGGTTAATGGTTTCCACAGCCAATTACTGGGAGAGAAATCATGTCCATCCCTCTTAGCAAGTGTCTGTTATTAATACGTCCTTGTTCCTGGTTAAGAGTCCACAGGAAAAAAAAAAAGAAACTGGTGCTAATTTGATTCAGGTGTTGATTTTTTACTGTGGAGTTATTAAACATGACCATTTATGGTTTTATGAAGAAAAGCAGCAACACTAGAAACATAAAGACATTTTTCGTGTAGATTAAACAATCATTCTAAATGAAAATATACACTTATGATGCTGAACTAAGTAAGAGAATGTCTTGTTTTAAAAAGGAGAGAAGAAGAATGCAAAGAAATTAGAGACAGAACCTGAAGCCTGAAGGAAGCTGATACAGCATAACATCTACATCATGGATGGATCTCACACAACAAAGACCCTCTAACTACAGCAGGAATGAAAAGGACAATAATGTAAACGGATAGCCATGTTTATATTGTTCTCACTTGGTCCAAAGGCTGCAGCTCAATAATCCCCTGAATTCAGCATCATGCGTAGAAAATGAGCAACTCATGGAATGATGTATGTCTCTGCAGAGACACACTGATGTTAAAATGCACTGGAGTTGAAGGACTTTTGGGTTTAATCTCCTTCATGCTTTGATGTAGGACAACTAGTACAATTAACAGCTAATATGTAAGCTCTGCTCTGGATTTAATGAGCAGATCCAGCCCCAGTTCACTGACATTTGTTTGAAAAATCAATAATAGTGACAGCAAAACAAATGGAGCATGCATGACGACAGGCTGGCTTCTGTCTTCCACATTTTTGCTGCCTCTGATCAGCATATCTGAGTTACAGAAGACTCAACTCATCTGAATTTCATGACTCTGCAGGGGGGCTCCAGATAACCGTCGCTGTGTGTTTGCAGAAAAGACGAGACAGACTGAGAGACACATCAAGAGACAGCATGGAAAAATATAATCAGATGAAAACAGAACAACAAATTGAGAGGTACACGTATCCCCCCATCCCTCTCTATGGATTAAAACCAGAAAACACAAACAGCATTAGCTCATTTGTCATGTATCTGAGGCTTGTTGACCCTTTCTTGAACCTCACCGTCATCGTTTTGGAAGGCAGCCATGTTGAACAGGGAGGTCTGGGTCTTCAGTAATTGTACAGCCACGACTCAGCAGTTTATCACAGCTAACAGGCTTTAATGGCTGCAGGGGAGGAAGTGATCAAGGGCAATAGCTAGGGTAAACCGTGCAGCACTTTTCTGGTGTTATGAACTTGGACCTGGCGGTAAAGCGTTTCCTGTTTTCAGTGTTGCACTACGTGTAGCTGTTTGGTGTTTGTGGCTTGCTAAAACTGATTTAATTTCTCTGTACTAGGATATCTCTGAGTTACTGTAGCACATAAGCACGCTAAAACACATTTTCTGTTGTCCCACCTAGCTTTTAGGGAACCATTTTCAGGAAGATAATGCTGCATTTTAGAAAATGGGTTGAAACAGCAGACACCTCCCATCTTGGTCTTTTCAGGGGTGTGGACGCTGCTCTGGGACTATGGTCCCTGTGTCACGAGACACGCTGAGGCTGGGAGCTCTAAACTGGGTGGCCATGTAAAAAACAAAGAAACAGCACATTTATAAATGTTTAAAAGAGCATAAAATCACATGTAACAATAAGCTGTAAAACAAATTAAAACTAGAAGGTGATAATAAAATGTTTACATAGACGATTATTAAATATAATTCACCTTTGCGTTTTGCTCTCATACTTCTCCGTCTCCTGGGGAGTGTTGCAAAGCAATTCCCCGGCAGGACAACAGAGGGCGCAGCGCTGTTCTGTGGTATCCTGTCATGTATCGGTCCAAGATAGTGTGCTTATATTGTGTTTTTTGTGTATATAAGAGACTTTTTAACACTGACATATTTGTCTCTCATTCTCCCACCTCTTCATGCGCTCCCCACCTCTAAACCCACGTTTCCTGTCATTTCCATCCACAAATAAAACGCTTGCTGCGCATCTTTTCACTCCTCCAGTCACGGGATAATTAAACGTTCATATTTTTAGAGTTTTTTCACGAGGTATTCTTCAAGCTATGCTTTCGTTCTTTTTTTAAACACAGAAACAGTTTTGTTTACCTGTTGGTAGCTACAAACAGGTAAACAAAACTGTTTCTGTGTTTAAAAAAAGAACGAAAGCATGGATTTACAAAGACACAGCAAGAACACACCTAAGATATTCTTCAAGCTGCTCCGTGTCTGCCGCTAGTTATCCTCGGCTCTCTTTGCAATGGCGGCGCTGTAAACAACAGCGGCGTCCTGACCAATCACAAGCTTGCGTAATCCGTCTCGTTCGACGGATGTTTAAAAAAGTGGGCTCGACTCCGTATGTACTTGCGTGCCTGCCGGAGCCCTGCGCAAGGACGGATAATGGCGTTGCGTGTCTCCGCACTGACACAGACGGAGAAGCATAAATCAGGCTTTAGAGCCACTGTTGCAGAATTACCGACTGACACAAAAACAACCCAAATTTTCTCTGAGCCTGACAGTAATAGTCATGTGGACCGTTTCGTCGGCCAGGGCTTCGATATATTCCGATTCGCCGCTGATTTTAACCTTACATCCTGTTCCATATTTTGTGAGCTTGACAAATCAGCCCGAAACACGTCTCTCAAACTTTGCATTTAGGTAGGGAATTGTCTTTAGAAGATGTTAAAATTTTTATTTAGCTTACTCACCTCAGACTGGAGCCCGCCATGGTGGGGGAGCAGAGTCGGTGGGCTGCAACTAAATCGCGGAAGAGCCACGGTGGGCACAGCCTCCCTCTGCAAACGGAGACGTGTAGAATAACCCAGATCAAACTCCATCATGTTGCCGAAGGAATCGCAGGTAAAATGCTGGTTGCAAACTGCAGCACCAGGAGGGAGCTGACTGTTTTCCAGTACACCGATAGCGTGCAACCACTAGCGCCTAATTTCTAAGTCCAGTGGAAAGTGCAACCCCACAGAGCAACCGAACCCACTACACTACACCTTCTCACCATACTAACACGATATGGAGCACTAAACCCGAACTACTTTCCTAATAACACTAACAGCCAAACACTAAACTACAATATCTAACAGCCAAGCTAACACTAAATAAGTATGTATAACACTAAAAGCTATGCTAAAGATTATGATATGCTAATGCTATATGCTAATGCTGAACTACCGCTAACCGTCCTATACTCGCTTGCAAATCCAACTCCCAACTCGCCACAAGGCGTGGCCGAGACTCTCAATGCTTTTATAACTTTGACACAGAGCTGCTATGTAGTACTCTACTGGTTTGTGCAGTATCCTTCTCTTTAGCCAATGGCTAAAGTGTATTCAAAATGACTCAAACTCTATGTTTTTAGCTGAAGGTGGCGCTATACTGTGGTATTTAGGCAGAATTTTTAATTTTTAAAGAAAATGCACCAAAATGCTAAAATAATGAATACACACATTTAAAGCACTATTACCCCGGGTTTCCACCGGAGCCGTCAGCAGCACGTTACTGCAGCTGTACGTCTTGCTCGCGTAAGCTGCTGCTTGGACCTTCCCACGAGATGCGAAGCAGCAGGGGAGCAGCTGAGCACGAAGTCACACGAGTGACGTGTGACTTCGTCAGTAAACACAACAACAAGCAGGAGAAAACTACAACATGGTTTGTGTTTTATGTTCTGTCCGTTTTATAATCTCCAATACGGATCTGAAAAACAAAGGAGACTGCTAGCTGTGTGATAACTTCTCACGGAGCCGCACAGTTAGTAACCTTTTTTAAAGTAAAGCAACCGGAAGGCAGTACGTTCTTTATTCTGAAAATCTCAGGAGCTTCTCTCCATTTCCGCGTCCGATTTCCTGTCTTTCCTTCCCCAAAAATATCGAACTTGACCCTTTTCAGAGGCGTCACGCGTAGAAAATAGAACCGGCGCGTAAAGGCCGCGACATGCTGCTCCTAAAGCTTGGTTTATGCTTGAAGCATTCACGTTCTGCGCGGTGATGCGGCTCGCGGATGGAACGCGCTTCACAACTCGCAGCTTTTATGGTTCGTGCGGCTCGTCTCTGCGGTGAGCCAATATTCTCCCAAACTGTAGGGGGCAGCATGGAGCTCTACGGCAAGCACCCAACACTACACCATAGTAGAAGTAGAAATTACTGTTTACAACATGGCATTTCAGCATTTTTAACAGCGTTCTCGTCTTTTCCGACAGTGCGAGCTATTTCTTTCCAAGAATTATTAACAACATGTTGATCACGGCGATCTCTGAGAGCTGAATCATAAAAATGTCTGTATTTACGAACCTCTGCCATACTAGTTCTTGCCGGTCCGCCATGTTTTTCCGCGTCCGTCCGTCCGCGTGGTTAGAAATTTTCCGAGGTGCGCGTTGCGGAAATTCTGGGCCGTGTGGAGGCGCGGTGGAGGGGCGTGGTAGTTAAAATGACGCAAAATGACGCAACTTTTCTGCGCTGAGCTGTGCGGACCTCGCGGACGCGTCAAGCATAAACCAACCTTGAGACGCGGCCGACTCGCGCTGCTGACGGCTGCTGACGGCTCCAGTGGAAAAGGTTCTGTTGACCACAGCGGTTCCTATCAGCAGCTATGACGTGCTGCTGCAGTAACGTGCTGCTGACGGCTCCTGTGGAAAGCCGGGGTTAGACACTCATTTATACAGTTCATCAGCAAAAATAAGTTAATTTAGACGTTACTTGCTCTTTAATGAAGAAAACAGACACTGAGTAAATTTATATTCTAAGTTGCCTCTATTTTATGCATGATCAAACTAACCAGCCTGGTGTCAAAGAATTTCTATTTTCTTTTTTTTTATCTCAAGAGTCTCTAACTACTTATCTCAAGAGTCTCTAACTACTTATCTCAAGAGTCTCTAACTACTGATTTCCAATTGACATCTTATTACAGTAAATGTCGTGGGAAACGAAAAAGTGAAACTTTTGTGGAACAGATGCTGATTTTTTTGCCTAACAACCAGCGTCTCTAGAAAAAACTGAATATCCATCCCACCATATGCTCCCTGGCTGGTGTCCGGTATCAGGACCCTGCAGATGTGTGATATAGGAACACTCAGGCCAAGAGACGATCAATAAAGTCATGCTGGTCAGACTTGGTCAGGGATTGGCAAAGCTCAGCGTATGTCACTGCTTTATTTTCTTTTAAGATTCAAAAATGCTGACTTACGAATAAAGATTTAAATTATCATGCAAAATAGTAAAATAATCAGCCAAAAATTCAATTTTGTGGGAGAAAATTTGTACGCTCTACTAAGAATAACAGAGAAAAGTATTAATTTTATGCACATGTAGGTTGTTGATTAAAAATAAGTCTTAAATCAGTCCACGAATCATGTGTTTTATTCATTTCAGTAGAGACAGTCTGTCTTTGTCATCCTCTCTCTGCCATCTGTGCAGACGCTGCAGCAGAACAGCTCCGAGCTCAGACAGCCAATACAGGGGAACCGAGACGTGAAGAGAGGGAGGAGCGACGCATGAAGGGGGGGTCTGAAGCAACGAATGGGAGCGAAGGAGAGGTGTCCCTGGATCTGAATGCCCTTGGCTGGAGCTTGGAGAGGCAGAGAGGAAGGAGAGGGAAGCTGGAATAGAGACACCGGCAGGTGCTGAGGAAGTCTGATATGGGATAAGTGTCCAACAAGCAAAGTGGTCAGAGGATGGTGTGATGAATGACCAAAATTAAAGAGGAGTTTGCTTGTTTTTGGGGATCAAATTGGAGCGTTTACCTTTTTTAGCCACCTTCTTTTTCCTCTCTGTGAGGAATCTCGCTCATCCATTCTTCTCCTTCCCACATCGTCAAGCGCCATGGAAACCGGGAGCCCCAGGAAGATACAGTTCACTGTCCCCCTGCTGGACACCCACTTGGACCCAGAGGCAGCTGAACAAGTAAGGATGAGAACAGTTTGGCATCTTAAAGCTTTTAGTGATTTCTTTATGCATCTTCTTCTCAGAGGAAGTGGAAAACATTAGTTCTCTCTTCTTTTCATAAAAACTACCTAAAAAGAAATCATTTTATGCTTGTGATGGTTTTTGAGAATCTGACAAGGACAAATTTTTCCAAGAGCATTGGTAACTCTTTCTGATTAGCATGCGTCTTTTGAAAGCAGAGCACTTGTGAGTTCAATGGATTTAGGATTGATTTATCCTCCTACACTTGGCAGATTTTTAAGAGCCACTCAGTTTTAAGCTGTTAAAAAGTGATGTGGCTGTTCAAACACGTCTCCAGGGGTTTAATTGGCCTATTTCAGTAACTGCTTTCATCCTAAACCAAATAGAAAAAAGGCTGGGAAAATTTGATTTAATCAAAAGGATGTCTTCCATCTAACTAAAGAAGCTGGATTTGATTATAACAAACTATTTGCAGATAAAATAATTCAAAAGGAAAAATAAACGTGTGTACCGGTTTAGAGCTTATGGAGAATAGGGGTGCAAGAACATGCCACATTTCCTTTATTTAATAAATATAAAATGACCAGAACAGGTCGTCCATAATGAATGAGCTTTGAGTAAAGCCAGCGAGGATGTGGGAGTCTGCCTCCCATCATCTTTACTCCCCACCCCCCACTTTGACTGAGAAACTCGGGGGAAGTGGATGCTGGGAGACTGCTTAATGTTTTCTGTCTCTGGGAGTTTGTCCTTGGTCGACCGACTGAAAACTACACAGAAAGTTTGGGACGATAATAAATGGCATCAGGTGTGAGCTGGTTTGTTCAAAACTGATTATTGTGTTGGTGTGTTCATTCGTTTCAGCAGAACAAAATTGACTTTGGGATTTACAGTAATGCATTTGATAGCATAGTTTCAATCATGGGTTCAATAAGGTAGTCTATTTTCAGAAATAAATGGTTTTGGCTGTTTTCTATATGGGGGGCTTGAGTCACGCCCATCTACTTCCTACTGAAAAGAATGGGAGTCAGTGGTGCGATAAAAGTTATTTTCTGATCCTGCTTGCTTGGAAGAGTTCAAACCTGCTTTGTCTCACCAATTAAAGTAACACTGAGCAGTGTCCTGCTCCTTCCTCCTGCTGGTTGAAAGGGGAATTACAACTGTCATAAACAACCCTGTTGTTGTCATGTAGCTGAACTAGAAGGACCCGTAAGAACACCAAACACTGAAAAGCACCTTTAAAAGTCTTTATTTGATGCAGAGTTACCAGAGGTGGGCGAGGCTGGAGACAGAGTCGAAGAGGAGGCGAGGGTCAAAACCAGATCGGACATGCAGAACAGGGAACAGGCAGGAGACGAGGCAGAGGACAGGCGAAGGTCGTGGTGCCGTGCAGAATACAAGGCAGGGGTCAGGAGCGAAAACGAGGTCCGGAGGCTGAGGTCAGGCAGGGTGGATGGCTGGAAGATTTACTTGCAAAGGCTTTCAATAATCTGGCAGGGAACTGGTGGCTGACTGGTGAATATATAGCAGGGGAAGTGGGTGTGAGTGATGAGCTGAGGAGTCAGGAGCAGGTGAAGTGGATGAAGCTGACGACAGGAACAGGTGAGATGAATGGAGTTGATGAGGTGCAGACTGAAGTTGCCAGGGAAAACAGGGCTTGGCTGGAGCTTGATGAGGGGACCAGGTGTGCTGAATGAAGGCTGAAAGATGGGAGTCATGACAGCGGTAGACTGCTGTAGCTAGTGGTAACAACGCACTAACGCTAACACAATCCAACTAATCCTAAAATAAACCACACATCAATAAGTAAAAGATCCACCATCTAGTGGTTGGCTTGAGCATGAGCAAGAGTGCCCCCTTCATGTAACAGAATGGTGACAGTGTCATAATTTAATAAATAAATGTAGTTCTTACTTTGCTGCTTCATGTTCCAGTATTCATTTTTAAACACATTTAGCTGTAATAAGTTATGAAATGCTTTAAAAAGCACCAAGACAGTGTGTGTGGGAGTGGGCGGGGCTTTAATTTCATGTGGTGCTACTGGTGTTACCAAGTTAGGGACAGGGACAAAATCCAGATAAGCCACCCTCCAAATTTTGTTTGAATGCTATTTTATTTTCCAATTACTACGCAAAAGTCTAACATAGCAGCACACTCTCACTTGACAGAAAAAAGAAAGTAGCTTAAAATAACTCCTAAAACTCAGAAGTTGGTTTTGTTTTGGTGGGCCGCCCCTTAAATCACCGAAAACAATAAATTATTCCACTGAAAGATTGTCATACTGCAGCTATGATTGATATAGACTTTAATAAGTTGTTCTAATTTAATTATATAACAGCAAAGCATTTCTCAAAAATCCCTACAGAGCTTTAGTTTTAGGTTCTCAGTGCTTTTGCTCTTTAAGATGAATAATCAAAATCACTATGATTGTGGCTAATAGTCATTGTTATTGGTAATTATTAATTTTTGTGTTTTTGTGGCACCTTACTACCGGGTAGGTAGGCTACAGTATATGACCAAAGAATATAAAATTCCACCCAAGGGTTACACCAGGTAAAGTTGAGAGTGACTGCTAAAAACCAAAGAAATCAGCCGATTAGCCACCACACCAGGGTTTATTCAGAAAATAGCTAACTAAAAAGCCACTAAAAAGCTTTAAGCCAGTCAAAGTAAATTCAGTTGACGGAACTAGGGCCGGAAAGAGTCTGCAGCCTTATCTGGGCGCTGTGAGGCAAGTTCCTCTTCTGCAGAACCATTCCCCTTGATCCTCTGGCCTTGTCACCACCGCCTCCTTCAGGGCGCTTGTCCGCCGCGCTGCCGTTCTCCTCGTTCGCCCGCCTCGTGCAGGTCAATCACTGGCTTGGACGTCCTTCCGCGCAACACCGTCGTCCTCCTCCATCGTGGGCCCCGCCTGTCAGTGAATTTAGACGGCAGTCACTGCTCAATCACACACCGGCGGGTCACACCTTGTCACAGACCGCTACTCACACGCCAGGGCAGAGGAATTCTCTGCCCGCATCTTCATGGAGCTTTGTTACAGACAATCGGTGTCCTTCCACCCGGCAACTCTCCGCTCTGCTGTCGTCTCCAAAGAATAATAATAATAATAAGAAGAAAATATCATTTCTATAACGCCTCTCAAGATAAAAATCATGAGGCGCTTCACAAAAACAAAAACACAAAATATAAAAATTGTAAAAATAGAAAAAAAAGCATTTTGAAAATGTTTCAAAATATAATTAAAAGAGCAAGAATAAGCAATTGCAATTTAAAAGAAAAAATGTTAAGAAAGAGAGAGTGAATAGGAAAGAGGGAAATCAGTGGATCCTGAGGAAGGTGGAATAGGTGGGGAGAGCAGAATAAAGAGAGAGTGGTGAAGAAGTTCATACAAAAGCCAGCTTGAACAAGTGAGCTGCTTTTTGAAGGAGACCACTGAGTCCACTGATCTCAGGCTCAGGGGGAGAGAGTTCCAGAGTCTGGGGGCCACAGCAGCAAATGATCTGTCACCTTTGGTCTTTAGCCTGGTGCGTTGCACAACCAGTAGGCTTTGATCACTGGACCGCAGGGATCTGCTGGGGGTGTAGGGACTAAGAAGATCACCAATGTAAGATGGTGCTTGTCCATGTAAGGCCCTATAGACCAGAACCAGGATCTTGAAATGAACCCTGAAGTTGACTGGCAGCCAGTGAAGCTGGAGGAGAGGCGGGGTGATGTGGGTGTGTTTGGAGGACTTGGTCAGAAGCCGAGCACAAGCATTCTGAACCACCTGTAGACGGTTCAGGGAGGTTCTGCTCAGACACGTGAAAAGAGAGTTACAGTAGTCTAAGCGTGAGGAGATGAAGGTGTGGAGAACTGTCTCAAGTTCAGCGCGAGACAGAATGGGACTCAGCTTAGCAATGTTCCTGAGATGGAAGAAGGAAGAGCGAACAAGAGAACTGACATGAGAATCCAGGGTGAGAGCTGGGTCAAAGGTCACGCCAAGATTCCTGACAGAAGGTTTGGTGTGGGAAGCAAGCTGACCAAGAGAGTCTCTGACTTTGGGAACCAGCTTGTCTGGGGCACAGATGAGGATCTCAGTCTTATCTTCATTCAGCTGAAGAAAGCTCCCAGCCATCCAGGTTTTGATAGAGTCTAAGCAGGTGTGTAACAGCTGCAGCTTAGACATCTCATGGGGCTTAAATGAGATGTACAGTTGGATGTCATCTGCATAAAGATGGTAGGAGATTCCTTTGAAGGAGCTCAGGATGTGCTGAAGAGGAAGCAAATAGAGGAGGAAGAGTAGAGGCCCCAGCACAGAACCTTGTGGGACACCATGGGTAAGAGAGGTGGTGGAGGACCTAAACTTGGAGACGGCCATAGAAAAGGAGCGCTCAGAAAGATAAGAGAAGAACCACTCCAGAGCAGATCCTGATAGGCCTACCGAGTCTCTCAGCCTCTCCAGTGGCAGGTGATGGTCAACAGTGCTGCAGTCAGGTCCAGCAGGACCAGAACAGAACAGTCCCCTGCATCACTGTGAGTCAGAAGGTCATTAGAGACCCTAAGAAGAGCCGTTTCAGTAGAATGAGCTCTACGAAAACCTGACTGGAAGCTATCATATATGTTATGTTCATCAAGAGCAGCTGTGAGTTGTTTAGCCATAACCTTTTCCAAGATCTTGGAGATGAACGGAAGTTTAGAGATGGGTCTGAAGCTGCTATGGAGAGAGGAGTCAAGACTCATTTTTTTAAGAAGCGGGTGGATTACAGCGTTCTGAAAGTAAGCAGGGAACCGACCAGAAACCAGAGAAGCATTAATTATAGAGAGCATGCTGGGACCGATGGACTGAAAATCACTTTTAAACAAAGATGAGGGTAAGATGTCGAGGGGGCATGCAGAGGTCTTCATAGAGTTAACTAGTTTGGTTAACTCAGGCAAAGAAACCGGAGCAAAGCTATCTAGGATGATGGGCCTGGTTGGAGCCGGGAGAGGCAGAGATAAGGCTGAAGGAGAGATGCTAGATC